ATTAAGTAGCACACCCGATATACATTTATTAAATATCATACCAAAAAACAACAAACTCAAAATAGATAATATAAAATTACCAAAAATAAATGAAATCTTAAATAATATTAAAGAAAGGGTGTCTTTAAATTCTAGAGCATCCCATTCCGTTGATGACAAGAACAGTAATGATAATGTGCTAGCTAAAATTTTAGAATCTATACCAAAAATAAATACTGGTAGTCAGAGGAATGCAGGTAAGGAAAATGATAAGTCAGACAACACCCAATCACCGAGTAATTTAGTGCAGTATGCAGGATTTGTTGATGATAGATTCAACATATTCTCACAGAAATCTTCAGAAGTTAATAATAATAATACGACCACAAATACAAACTTTCCAATAATTGATATAAAAAAAACACTACTGGGAGCTGAAACGGTTCCAATAAAATCAAAGTCTGAAAATCGTGACTCAGGAAATGACTTTCTTAATGATGTAAAAAGAACATTAGAAGATTCTCGAAAATTATTGCGGCCTTTAAACTTGTTTAATTTACCAAAAATAAAGCAGAGTGAAGATAATATTGAAAACAAAAACAAAGATGACGTAGTAGAAGTATCAACATCAAGCGATGATGACAAAATTTCTACAGAAATAATTGATACAATACCAAATTCATCTTCATTACAAACAAATGAAGAAAATATTAACAATTTGTCATGTTTAAACAACGAAAAAGTAGAAGATAAAGTCATTCAAAATGTTATAATACAGCAACCAACAGCTAAAACTGAGATCATAGATAGTTTACCACACTCATCAAATGTAAATGATATTATACATGATCAACCAGATGACTTCGAATCAGATCCAGTCAGTTCAAGTGAAGAATCTTTAAAGGTCGATGACATAACAAAAGAAACAGGTACAATTACAAGCGCTGATTCAAAAGAGGATAGTTTTGATGAAAATGAAGGTATGGAGCAAATAATTGAAGAAAGCGACATCGAAAACACTAATGATAATTTACAATCGGATATTGAAGACTTCTCAGATAATGAAAGCATTAGCAAAGATAATGCATCAGATATTTCTGATGCAGATGTATTCCAAGACCAAAATAATGCAGCTTCAGAATTACGTGATGTAGTTCAAAGTGATTTCAAAGAACTGTCAGGGATATCTAATCCCAAGACCATAAATAAAATTTCAACTAATGACGAAAATCTCGATTATAAGCCAATTAAAAGTGAAAATATAAAACCCTTGTCACTTCGAAAAAAGTTGTTGAGACGTTTGGAAAATACATCAAATACTTTGCCTAACTCTTTTTCCAAGAAATCAACTTCAGAATCAAAAGAATCCGGTGACGACAGCAATCAATTAAGCATCGGTGACTTACAAAATATGTCGAATTCATTACTTGATAAAGAAAAATCTCTTATTGATATTTTGGCTAAACGAATAAATGAACAAAAATCTAATACCGCTACGACGAATCTCAAAACGGAGGACGATTTGGAAGAATCAGATGAGAAAGTAGGGGATATTGATATTTCCGAATCAAATATCTCTAAGCAAATGACAAGCAAAAACCGCGATGAATGTTTATCAGATTTGTCACAAAACAATGATTTAAATCTTGCAAAAGCCCAAATACAATCAAATGAAATGTCATCTGAGGCTAGCGAAAGAGTCAGTAGTGTAGTTAAGCCTAATCGTCTAAGGGCATCATTATTACCTCATATTGTGCAGCCTCTACCTTCTTTATTTAATGGACCTAATAATTTGTTTAATACACCAACTATAAATATACCTGATTTATTTAGCAACCCGTTAGCGATATCTAGGACACCCAATATTTTTGATAATAGAGAAAAATCAAAGGCTAAAATTAAAGATACTGCCTCGAAACAAGATGCCAGAATGTCATCTATGGCTAGCAAGTCTAATTCCAAAACTTTGCTAGCACCGGTAAATCTCCTTGAAGACATTAACTTAGATGTACTACAGTTAAAGCCTTTAGGTTTGTCTCGAGGTTCTTTACCGGCATTACCTAGATTAAATTTAAATTCTTATAAAGCTAAATTACCTGTGCCAGATATATTAGCTTTAAAACCTGTGATTTTGGAATCTTCCGTCAGAAACAACAAAGGTATAATAGGTGCTGCTATGACATTTGGTAAAAATAAGTCTGGTTTGCAAGGTAAATCTAGTGTTGAAAATACAGTTGCGGATATTCTTGGAAATCCTATTGCTTTACCTAGCTTTGATGATTTACATGAGCATTTATTAGAAAACGCTCAAAACTTACTAAGTACTCCTTTTGAATCAACTAGCAGAAATATGATTGAAGATACATTGCGCTCGGGGCAAGTTCTTTCAGAAAATATCAAGGTACAGGCAAAGAGTGCAGTCAACGATCTCCATAAAAATATCAAAAACTCTTTTAAAGGAACCAAGTTAGGCAATACTCGGGCAAATTCAAATTTATTGGAAGCAATATCAATAAATCACGAAGATTTAGGCGATAAATTAAAAGGTATTCGTCATGACTTTTCGGATAGACTTGAAGCTCTACGAAATAATATATTTGATCAAATACCGAATCTGGGAGCACCGATGACCAGGCAAAGCAGTATCCTTAAGGCCGTACAACAGCCTTTACAATTATCAAGTAAAAACAAAAATAACCAACTATCTTCATCACGTAGCAAGAAGCTTAAATTTAATACTTCAAAGCGCGGAAAAAATAAATCTTTGAATGTACTACCTGCGTCAAGTGTAATGTCTCCTAAGTTCGTAGAGAGCCCATTATCTAAAATAGAATCTCTACAATCCCACAACTTAAATTTCATGCCAAAGAATAGCATTAAAATTCCACATTTGAAATCAAAGTTAAATGGTAAACCACTTATGGATATATTTAAAAAAGCAGAAAGTTCTTTATCTCATAAGCCTTTGTTCAATTCAAAACTAAAGAAGGAAAATAAAGTGAAAATAACTTTTGAGACAACACCTCGACCAAATTTTAAAGTGAATCCATCCAAAAAAACAAACATACCTAATTTAAGAAGTAAATTAACATTACCACATAAAAATACCCAAAGAAGCAAATCACCATTGAATTTAGGGGATCTTAATGAATCACCAAGTGTCATGAAGCCTACTCATATAAAAGCTCCTTTAAGAATTCCTATACGATCTAAATTTGCATCAAAGTCAGTTAAAGATGTAGCGGAAATAGCACCGGCAGCGCTTAAGTCCAAACTGCACTCTACATCCAAGTTAAAAAATTCGAAATGGGATAAGTCTTTTGATGGAACGCCGTTGAGATCGCCTTTAGTCCCGATAAATGTTAAACAACCAGTTAATAAACTTAAAAAGACCGGTTTGACTACTGCTAGATCTCAATCATTTCCACGAATTGTAGATGATGCTTTCTTGACAAAGGTAAGGGAAGCATTGAAGACAAGATTAGAAGGTTTAGGACCTGCAATTACTAAACAAAAATCTGCAATTAAGCTCGGTAAGACGGCACTTTTACCATTTGATATGGCAAGATCTGCTTCAAGTAATGTAGATGCTATCGCACCAATTCCGGAAGCATTAAAAGAAAACACTGCGTACACATGTAAAATGCTTTGTACAAAGAATTAATAAGCTTTCATACTAAAAACAATTGAGTAGGTATGTTGAATATGACATTTTTAAATTATATTCATGTCTCAGAGAAACATGATCATGATCTTTGACGGGAAAAAAATAGTTTCTAAAAGGTTTCTATTAGCTATATCAGTTTTTCATATATTTTGTTAAGGTGAATGGATGAATATGAGAGTCTGAGAAATGAATGGGATCAAATTTAAAGATTTTAACAAAACTGTAGTAAAGTTGAATGTTGTCAACATGTTATATACGTGCCACGATTAGGATCAAGTATGTTAAGTTTTGTAAATAGTTTAAACTAAGTTCTATTTATACTTTTGTACTTAATATTATAAAATTGTAATATACTGGAATGTGTTTTATTTTATTATTTATTGACATAACATCTTTGTCCATTTTCAAATGTTATGACGATTCAAATCTTTGCTGTTAAGTTGTTGTTTTCGATTTGATTTTCAATCATATACAGGGAAAAACCATTTAAAGAATCGCAACAACATTGAATTGAATTGAATATCCTTCCCATACTTATTTTTAATTAAAAAAAACACCTCAGAGATGGGGTGGCATCTACTCACATGAAATAGCAACCTTCGGCACATTGACAACTTTGAATTTGCAGATAAGTGGAACCAAAATCCATATTTTGGTGAAAAAAATTGGTGCAGTTTGGCAGAACCTAAAAACATCAGTTTTGTATGGCTCCTTCCATACAAAACTGATGACGATACGATAACGGAACTATCAAGTTCATGCTTGGGACCTAGGTATTGTCAGTGGGGTTGAGTTCATTTTAAAGCACTGACCATTATGCTACCGCGGCCCTGATGGCCGCGTCGAATTTTCTGTATCCTAAATTAAAATATAATACATATAATAAATTCTTCAAACACTTGAATTATTACAACAGCAAAGTGAATATAAATAAACTGAATAAATAAATATTTCCGACAGTCAAACGAATTAGCCTAGCCCAAAAGTAAGTACTGTAGGCTTGTGTTTAAGTAGATTTTTTGACTCATTAGGGGCTAGAATCTAAAGGCTATGGCATGGGGCGGCAGGCTGGAAGAGCTTATAAAAGTATTTGTTACTGATCTGATCCTGAGTTTTGTGCCCAAAGCGGGTCTTATACAACACTACAAGACCATTTAAGGCTCGTACTTGAGTACAGTTAGAAAGGGATGTCGCTTTGTATAGCACATAGCGACATCCCTTTCTAACTGTACTCAAGTACAGATCATTATCAAAGATCGCATTCTGTTAAAATTTTAGGTGTAACAATATATGAGACACAAAGCAGTGCCATATTCTGTTTATCGTTTGGGAACGGAAACCTAAGAAGTTTCAAGTTCCTTATAAACAGAGGGGGACCAGAGTCGCGTGTGATTGTGTGAATGAGATTAAACTTTGTTGGGTTCATCTTCAAAAAAATTACCCTGTTATCTTTGCTCAGTTCGTTGATAACCGCGACCCAACCCGTACGTGAATTCTTTGTGAGATGCTGTGCCATATTACTTTAGTTTTAAAACAATGCACATAATAATTCAGTTTATGTTATTGGAATTCTACATTTCCAGTTAAGTTGTGTTTACATAGCACTATGCTGTTTTGTAAGACCAATCTATTTTTCGCATCGTTTGCAGGATTTATCGGAAGTGGTAAGTTTCAACTCAATTTGTTAACTTTATAAAGCATTACCTATGAATGTTTATGTTACTTTAAATACCTATTTACAACTTTTTATAGTTACTGAGCCTGGACTTTATAAGATCAAAGCTTTTCTGCTGGCATGCTTTTCTGTCTTCTATTTGTTTACAGAAGTAATTAAGAAATATAACATGAGAGACAAGTGAAATACTAAATTTAAAAAAATCCGTTTCAATGGTTTATCACGAAATCACAAAATGGGATTAAGTTTGCAATATCATGTCATGAAATTATTAATTTGTCAACGAATCATAACAACGTACACAACCACTTCACACATATAAAAATATATACTTAAGCACAGTTAAATTTACTTAATCATCACAAACATATTAGGTTATAAAAGAAAACGCGTGCATCTCCAACATTGGTCGCAATGTAACTTTGATTTCAAATCAATTTTAAGCCAATTCATATTATCATTTGCATAATAAAATATACAGTGCGTCCCACGGCTACCTCACACGGAGGGAAAGTATATTAAATATTAAAGATAGGATATTTTACTGAAAGAAGACATCATTTTATTTTTAATAATAACAAGAACTGCATTCACAGATTTTTTTAAAATCGACTGCTACAACTGGGAATCAAACTCGTGAAATTTCGAAAAAAAAACACGACATATTTTATGATAACCATCGAAAGGGTTTATCATAAAAAATATTTTTTACTAAATAACAAATCATTTTAAATGAAAGGAATGTCTTATTACGTGATAAAAATAATAAAGTGATATACAACTGTAGTACGTATGCATTTCTTTTTGAACTCAGTTACAATGCGATTGGCTGAAATTTGTAATAATAATAATTCGAAATTGGAACACATACATTTTCAAGCGTCTGTACCCCTAGCACGAACCATTATCGAATTCGAATAGTTTGCGAGTGTGAAATGTCAATGTCAAAATTTGTATGGAAACTTATACAGCAGCGCCACAAAGTACGTAACGAGAACTAAAAATCAGTACACATTTGACAATGACATTTCGCACTCGAAAACTATTCGAATTCGATATTGGTTCGTGCTAAGGGTACTGTTCTTTTATTTTCTGTTTTTCATTTTAGTTAACAAACGGGTTCTCATAATACATTTGTACAAAGGGAATCTAAATACGGAAAGATGTCTAGAAATACTTTATATTTTAAGAGGTGAGATCAATAATCTTCCCGATGCAAATCGACGAAATCTCATTTTCCAGCAAAATGGGGCTCATAACAGTAGGAGAACTGCCGAGTTTCTTAATGAACACTGTTCTTCCTGGATCGGTTCTTATGGGCAAATAAAATGGCCAGCGAGATCCCCAGATCTAACCCCACTGGACTTTTTTTGTGGGGTTATGTAAAAGATGTAGTATACAAGAACCGGTTAGACAGGAGTTACAAAATTAACTCAGACGTATTATTACAAACATTCACCACGCAAAGATAATGAAATCGACAGGCAGAGAAAACAATAAAAGAGTGAGAATTTGCATACAAAAAATCGGATCACATTTTGAACATTTGATACAATTTAAATTATTATTTTTTATTGCACCGTTTCGTTTTTTATTACTTTTTGTTGAATATTTTTTAATAAAATGTGTAATTTTATGACTTTTATTGCTATGTTATTTAGCAAAAAATAATTGTTATGATGCACTCTTTCGATGGATATCATAAAACATGTCGTGGTTTTTTTTTCGAAATATCACGAGTTTGATTCCCTGTTGTAGCAGGCGATTTTAAAAATTTCTTGAATGTAGTTCTAGTTATAATTAAAAATAAAATGATGTCTTCTTTCGGTAAAATATCCTATCTTCAATATTTAATATACTTTCTCTCCATGTGAGGTACCCGTGGCACGCTCTGTATAAAAACATAGGAACGTGAGTTAGTTTTATCTCTATGACATCTGTATACTAGTAATTATTTACTGAATTGTCAATTGAGTAATTGTTTACTATGCCATAATTATATTTTTTCATTACGTAATAAGTTTAAGTAATAAGTTTTTATTTTGTCTCTATTTGTTAAGTATAGCGTCGGAGGAAAAAGTGTTACTAACTATTGGTCGCCCGCGACTTTGTCCGCGTTAACTTCAGTTATTTGAGAATCTCACAGGAACCTGACATTTTTCCAGGATGTGTTCAATGTCTAAATCCAGGTCATAAACTATATGCATACATCAAAATCTGTTCAGTAGTTTTTGAGTGATTGAGTAGCAAACATACGAGCACACAAACATAAAAACTTTCACATTTATCTCTCCGTCTTGCAAATTGGCACCTTTCTGTGGATTTTACCAGACTCGAGTATACTTACCATATATAAATGTCTATTTTTTTATTTAAGGGAAAGTACACAGCTTATCTATATATTGGAATTACAATCAATGATGTACAATTTGAAAGTCAATTACGACTATCCACATATTACAATAAGTATAAAAAACGAACAAACGAGATAACAATACAATGTCAATTAACTTTGATCAAAATTCTTAATTATGACTTTTTGTCGTATTTAGTTTTTTTTTGTTTTCTTTGTATGATTTATTTCTTTTAGAAATACACTTAAGTCTTAGATCCGAACCTATTTCGACCTTCACCGAGCTGATAATAGAATGAAACAAATTTTATCATGAACTTAACTATTAGAAAATATATAAAGCCAATCCACACTTGTCTGTGCCACCCGCCCATGTTTTCTCAGTACGCCGCACGTAGATTTAAAAAAGTTGTGAACAGCATGAGTTGATGCGTCAATGATCAATTTCTACGCTGATAGGTATATATGCGTCAACCTTAATCCATCTCCAATTTCACGTCAGACATTTCGCTTGTTATTGTTATTGTTATTACGAAGATAGTGATACAAGTTTTCGTAGAAGTCGCCCGTTGGTAACATACACAATGTAGATTAGGTTACATACATCCGTATCTGCAGAGACTTGATCATGCCCCAACTTTTTGAAGTGAAGCTTCTATACGCACGCTTGACTTGGGGGGTAAGCTGGCGAATGCGTTAAGCGTTACGAAAAGTGTGTTTGGGCGAGGCAAACGTGAGTTGAGTGGGGGATATAAGCAAGAGAAAACAGCGCGCACGCACATTTTCTTTCTCTTTTTCTTACAGCTAGCAAAAGAAATATGTATTTTTGAAAATTTAAAAGTTACTGAAGGTTTTCTCATGAACGCGTAAAGGTATTAAATTGAGTTTGTACGGAACCCTCAATGCGCGAGTCCGACTCGCACATGGCCGGTTTTTTTTTGATAGGACACAGATTGGTTGAGTGAGTATGAAGCTCAGAAGAACGTGAGACTTGTATATATACATATATTTGCTCCCAGGTTTTGCAGAACAATTGCGGGACAACGTTCACTGTTAAGACGTATTAAGACATACTCGTATTAACAAAAACCAGACTGCTTAAAAAGGAACTTTTGAAGAAAATTGCAAAGAAAAAAGCAAACCCAGTACACTTGGAACGAACCAATATTAAATTCGAATTCTCGAATTCAATCTCAATACGTGTCAAATGTCTAGAAGTTTTGTATGGACATTTGAAGAGCGACACAATAGAGGTAACGCAGATTTAAAAATCTTTAATAAAAAAATCTTGGCGTTTGACGCGTTTCGGGATCGAATTCAACTATTCGACTTTCCATTTTGGTTCGTGCTAAGGGTACAGCACAATCAGCCATAACGGACGTAAGGACAATTCGGACTCGCGATCTATTCGAATTCGATATTGGTTCGTGCTAAGGGTACAGTAGCCTAGAATTTAACAGACAGGACCCATTAAATATTCTAGACTAGATAATTGGACTGGATTTTTCCAATAACTGGTCCCGACTGTTAAATTCTAGACTACAATAGATGATGCCCGGCAGTATTTATTTAAAAAAAATTACAATACTATTTACAATCAGTCCTCAGACTCTAAGTAAAATGCGTAAAATATTTACGTACCTGTGCCACCTGATATCTGAGAATTGGCCCACAGTACAAGTTAGCGAACGAGTATGTTTACGTTAATTGTACATTAATACTACTCGATTATCTATATTTTTAAAATAAGTTAGGTCTGGCGGACTTGCATCTTGGACTAGTAGGGCGTGTCAAAGAAATGAACATACGTATTTACAGACATACCCTCGAAAAACCCTTCTTTCTTCGGCAGTCGGGCAAAAAGGCTGACGCGGCTGGGCTGGCACATACTACCCTGGACTGCCGAATCCTTCAGTCGCTACCATGCGTTGTTTATTTGTTCTGTCACGTCTGTGCAGTGTGGCTGAATGACGACGTGGGTGCAGGAAGGCCATGCTTGCAGCGTCAGATCCCGGACCAGTCGGTGGTATGCGTATGCAGCCCCGCCTACTGTGACGACCTCGTCAGGGACACCCCGACGCCGGACAAGTATGTCATGTATACCTCGTCAGAGGTAAGAAATCTTAATCAATTATCTACCGACTAGTTTCTTTTCTTGCATATGAAAGTAATTTATATATTGTTTTAAACTTTCATGTCACTAACATTATAGCTATTAACGGGATTGTTACCATGTACCTTATTTTTTATATGAGTCTCCGATATTTCGGCGTTGCAAGCGCCATGATCACGGAGTAACTAACACGGAGTAGTGATATCGGAGACTCATAAAAACAAGGTACATGGTAACAATCCCGTTAATAGCTATAATGAAAATAATTTGTTTATATTTTTATTTAAAAAGTCTGGCAAACAAGCTATAACCCACATGTCATGTGTGTGGCCCATGTAATGCCTGATGGCAAGCGGGCACCATAACATATACATAGATGTTTGCGATACTAAAAATATCACTGGCACCGTTGCCTACTTTGACCATTGGGTCAGAAAAAGTAAGGTAACGGGGCTCAAGGGAGGGTAGAGGATTGCATCTACCCTCTCTTGAGCCCTGTTACTTACCTTAATCACCGACAGAAACACAGTACCGCCATAAGGTAGTGTTATTTTACTGTCATCATCTGTAAGTTGTCGAACTGTTCTTCTGTTGATAAACAGTTTCGACAAGCTTAGACGAGAACGGTTTGTTTCAGAGGTCTTTTATTAAGTTTTCTGGTGGTGTCAGCGAAACTCTAAAGAACCTCAGCTGACTGTCTGCCGGCTAGTTTTGTCTCATAATTAAAAACCGTAACCGAAATTTCATACAATGTGTATTTCTATTTTCGATAAATACAACTAATTAATACATTAAAAAAATAAAGGGTACAATTAAGAAGTTTTGTATTTTTCATTTTTCAGGCTGGTATGAGATTTGTGAAGACGACGCATGCTTTCAAGACTAATGAAAATGATTCTAGTAAGTCTTAAATATATAACAATTTTAGGACTATTCGAATTTGTGTCTCCTTTTTTCCTTCACATTAAACTTATGTATAGCATAGTAGTCTTATATAAGTAAGTATACATAAATATATTTACAAGTAAAATAGTCTTTGCTAGACTAAAAGCAAAAAAAAGAAAAACAATAATGGTTGAAAAGCTCGATAGATCGTTGAAATGGAACTTTGGCAATGGTCGGTCATAGGATGGGTGACCAAAAATGTTCTATTTCGAGCTCGTCCGTACTTCGAAGGGCACGTGAATGCCATTAAAAAAAATCCACATGGGGCCTGTGAGTTTAACTGTAAAAAAACATGCAATTTTAATATTTTTCTCTAGAGAGAGACCAAGACAACATTGTCCTGACCTTGGACCCCAGCATTAAGTATCAGACAGTGCTGGGTTTCGGTGGAGCTGTCACTGACGCAGCCTCCATAAACTGGAAGAATCTGACCGACCCTGGACTAATGCAGAAACTCATAGAGTAAGATGTTTATTCTTAAAAAGGTGAGGCAAGCTTGAATTCCCTCTGATAGTAACAGCACGGCCACGACCTTTGGTTTCGTAATGCGTGCAGCGATGGTCTACGCGCAATTGATAGGCTAGGCTTATAGAGCAACACTGCTGACGCAGCCAGGAGAGGAGTAGGCATGATTTGCTGTGTGCAGAATATGCCGGGGTGTTGTGTCCATTGTTTTGTGTGAGTGTCGTAATTACAGTTTTGTTTTTTGCACATGTATTAACCTGCATTTGTGTGCATATTTCCCCCCTGTCAAAATGGCAGTATGGTGCAGTGATGGTCTATGCGCATTTGGTAGGCTAGACTTATGAGTCTAGTGAGCAACACGGCTGACGTAGGCAGGAGAGGAGTAGGCATGTCTTGCCGTGTGCAGGATGTGCCGGGGTCTTGTGTCATTGTTTTTGTGTGAGTGTCGTAATTACAGCTTTGTTTTTTACACATGTACGTTAACCTGCATTTGTGTGCATATTTCCTGGTGCATCGATGGTCTATGCGCATTTGGTAGGCCAGGCTCGTAGAGCAACATGGCTGATGCAGCCATGAGAGCAGCAGGCATGATTTGCCGTGTTCAGGATATGCCAAGGTATTGTGTCATTGTTTTTGTTTAAGTGTCGTAATTACAGTTTATTTTTTACAATTGTACGGTGCTCCATTGTGTGCATGTTCCCCCCTGCCAAAATGGCAAAATGATTTGAAGTATTTATGTCGCTATGGCTACTCCCTTCCGTGTTGCTCTATGGATGGGCTTAACGCTAGCTCCTAACAGCCACAGAACAAAAAAAAACGATAGCTCCATCGTCGCTGTGGGCTCCGCTTGGTGGCGTGCGCGCTAACAGTTTAGTTACTTTATTATTTGACGACCTCCGTGGCCGAGTGGTTTGTACGCCGGGCATCAAGGTGTCGCCTACTCGAGAGGTCCCCGGTTCAAATCCCGGTGGGGGCACATTTTTGAGTGATGTATACGAGCATTTGTACTCCACTCATGGATGTTTAATATGGGTTTCTATATAAATATACTTATATATGTACCTTATATGTATTCTATCCGTTACCCTAATATCCCATTCATAACACAAGCCATACAGTGCTAACTTTGGGGCTAGGCTAATTGATGTGAGTGTTGGAAATATTTATTTATTTATTATTTTCATCACTCGGCGCGTCGCTCTAAGCCGATGCTCAAAGAGACAAGGCAAAGAGCAACACGGCTAACCCGTGATGCGGCAAGGTCGTGGACGAGCAGCTGCTTTATGCCCTTCTTATGACAATCAAAATGAAAATTTGCGATGGTGTGTCAGTCTGTCTGTCTGTTACCTCTTCACTCTTAAACCACTGAACCGAGATGAAATTTGGCATAGAGATTGTTTGAGTTCCGGGAAAGGACATAAGTTATTTTCCCGGAAATCATCCTTAAAGGGAGTGAAAGTTTGTATAGGAAATCAATTTCTCTAAGCAGACAAAGTCGCGGGCACCCACTAGTTTCAATAAAATATGTTCAAAACCAAATGGATGTTAACCAAACCTTTTCCTTCAGTTCGTACTTTAGCAAATCTGGGCTGCAGTACAACATGTTGCGGGTTCCCATAGGTGGGTGCGACTTCTCCACCCACCCCTACGCCTACAACGAGATACCAGAAAACGACCCCGCACTAAGCAACTACTCTCTCGCATACGAAGATCACCATTTCAAAGTAAGATCTTTTCCATGGAAAAATAAAAAATATGTACGTATTCAGGTTTTCCTATCAAAGAAAGAGTGAATGTTTAAAAATTCTATTAGGCAAATCTACTATTTTTCTGCAATAATATAGGGTCGTTTACCTAATATGAAGACTGTTTGTTTTTATACTGTATGACACAGCAATCAAAATTTGAATGGACGTTGTATTGGTAGCGGAAAGTTTTGTTTTTGTAAATGTTGTTACTTCTGTTAAATGCTAAAGAGTTTCTTGCGCCCAATTTTCTCATCAGCCAAAAGATGTCCTGAATGGAAAGTAGGAAAAAACATTGGGCGATTAAAAACAGCTTTCAATAAGTCAGTTTGAATAAAGTATAATTTCATTTTATCATTTCATTGATCTTTCTCATCTGATCGCCGCGTGCTCGTTTCGTTTCCGTTCCAGTACCGAATCTGTACATATACTTTACGAAATACCACTTTTAGATCGGCTCGATTTCGGTGCGGTATCTTTTCGTTTTGTTGGCAACGGCATTATGTAATCAGATTTATAACCTTTGTTTTTTATGTCTTTTACAATGTTACTTTACTACACAAACACCAATAGGTCCTATTGTCTAGGTAGGTTCGTTTTTGAAGGTCCAGTGGGCACCATGTTCTTGATTGTAGGTCGAATGGGTACCATCATGTTATTAAGTACCAATTATGAGGGTCCAATGGGCACCATTTTCTTGGTAGGAGGTCGAATGGGTACTTTTTCTAGGTAAGGTTCAATTAGGAGGGTTCAACGGGTACTAGACCTTTGTTGGTCTGGTTGGTCTGTGGGTATGACGAGACGGGTGAGTCTAATGGTTCGGTAGCACTAGTGTCGGTATAGAGAGGTGTGTATCCGCTCGTTAAAGATTCTGTACCAAAAAAAGAAATATGGTGACTCATTTCTTTGTCGTACTATTCGTAAGTGGTATTCTTGGCCCGCGCACGTGTTCCCTCCTTTTCACAATCTGTGGTCCTTTAAGAGAGCCATGAAGAATCATTTTTGCAGACCGGCGCGGCTGTACCAGCTATCTTCGCGTTTAGATTATATCACCACTTAACATCAGATGGGGTAGAGTCACATGCCTACCTGGCTATATAAAAAATAAAAAAACGACTTATTGAGGAAGCTCGCATTTAATTACATGCACTTGGTTAAAAATCTGTACATATTCGGTACAGAAACGAAAACGATATGAGCCCGCACCGACCCAGTAAGACAGGCGCCTGAGTCACACCATTACACACATGAGCTATGAATATGGTCTTAGAGAATAACGAATTATTATTATTTTTCTAGGAACGGGCTCAATCCTAATTGCTAACAATTTATATCATTAAATAAAACTAGTTTTAACGGGTTAATGCACGAACTTTATTTATTTATTGACGTTTCGCAGCTTTTTCAGGTCTGCATCGTCAGAATAATGATTTTTATTTACTTTGTCGAGCTACCTTCGAAAGACTTTTATTGAGCGTTTGGATATTTCATTGGAAGATTTTTTAAATTTTATGGTTTATGTATGAATTTATAAGTAATAAAGTACTTTATTTAAGTTTTTTTTTGTAAATAAACTCAAAATTAAGTTCGTGCATTAACCCGTTAAAACTAGTTTTATTTAATGAGTGATGTGCGTGAAAACCTAAGAAACAAATAATTTATATCATGTTCCAGATCCCAATGATCAAAGAGATAATGAAGGTGGCATCGGATCCTGTGTATATCGTGGCATCTACATGGTCACCGCCTCCTTGGATGAAGACTAACCGGGTATATGCTAATGTGAGCCAGCTGAAACCGGAGTACTATCAGACGTATGCTGAGTACTTTCTCAAGTAAGTAAAATGTCATCTTATTTGTTTCTTAGGTTTTCACGCACATCACTCATTAAATAAAACTAGTTTTAACGGGTTAATGCACGAACTTAATTTTGAGTTTATTTACAAAAAAGAATCTTAAATAAAGTACTTTATTACTTACTAGTGGCCCGCCCTCGCTTCGCTTCGGTGTAGAGCTGTAGTGTAAACTATAGTTTTTGTTCTCAGGCTTGTGCTATAAAGAATGACTTTATTTATATAATTACACGTGTTATTGTGAGTCAACCATAAAAGATAGACATATGCTGTTGCGGGATATTTTTTAGACAATTTTATGTAGAGTATTTCCGTCATACATGATTTCTATGTAACTTTAACCATTAAGGCTGCACCCGCGACGGAAGCTTAAAAAATGGAGTAACTTCTCCCGTTTTCCCAACATTTCCCTTCAATACTCTGCTGCTATTGATTGTAGCGTGATGAAAAGTATACTATAACCTGCCCAGGAGTATGAAGAATAATTATACCAAGTTTCGTTAAAATCCGTTGAGTAGTTTTTGTTTCTATAAGGAACATACACACAGACAGACAGACAGACAGACAGACAAAAATTTTACTGATTGCATTTTTGGCATCAGTATCGATCACTAATCACCCCCTGATAGTTATTTTAAAAATATATTTCATGTACAGAATTGACATCTCTACAGATTTATTATAAGTATAGATAAATTCATACATAGACCATAAAATTTTAAAAATAACTAGCTGTGCCTCGCGGTGCTACCCGTGGTTTATTAGCGGTATTTTCAGCTAACTCCATACCTTATTAAAATTTCTCCAGCCGTTTATACGTGAAGAAGTAACAAACATACCTATACACTCAGATACTTACATACTTTCGCCTTGATTATATTAGTGTGAGAAATAGATAGGATAAACATACCTATAATTTTGATTACTTATGATATAAAGAAAATTTAACTAGAAAAAAAACACCCGGACCAGGCAGTAGACGGGTCTCGAAGCCTTACCCTCCGTTTTTCTGATGGATAGCGCAATTTTTTATAGTAAAATTTTCTTTAGTACCATCTAGTAGTTAAATTCTTAAAAGAATAAAAATCACAAAAAATTCTTGTCTGTACAGATTTGTGGAGCAATATGCCAATGAAGGGATAAAAATTTGGGGTATCACTACTACAAACGAACCTCTAAACGGCATGTTTGGAATAGCAAACTTCAACAGCCTTGGATGGGCTCCCTTGAATTTGGTAAGCCTGGATCGCCAATATGTCCATAAAGCCTTTCCTCCATATAAATAGGCAAGTTATAATCGGGCGATAGGAGGAGTTCGATGGCGCGGGTGGTTAGCGCGTTCGGCTGCAATCGTTGAAGTAAAGCAACTTTTGCAGTGGTCGGTCATTGGATGGGTGACCAAAAATGTTCTATCTCGAGTTCCTCCGTGCTTCGGAAGACACGTTAAGCCGTTGCTTCTGGCTGCATCTGCAGTCGTTAGCACCCGCCAATCCGTACTGGGCCCGCGTGGTGGGTCACGACCCAATCTCCCTATTCCATCCATAGGGAAGGCCTATGCCCCAGCAGTGTTGACATTAATAGGCTGGTGATGATGATGAATCGGCCGATAATGGTGTCGATTCTGGCATGATTCTCTAAGCCAAAACTTAAATTTGACAACAGTGTATCCTTGTCATTTTCTATACAGAATGAAAAGGAGAGACTGATGTTAAATTTAGTTTTAAGTTTAGAGAATCATGCCGGAATTAACACCAGTATCGGATGCGTTATTGCCAAATCTGTTTTTTTATACAAAAGGTATGAGAACGGCTATGAAGTTACACACTACTGTGAAAATACACTTACATTAGCCCTACACTTACATTAAAACCTAAGGCCCTACATTATCGCAATAACCCATCCGATATTATCGACCGATAAAAACGTGCCTATGTGGTTGAGGGCTAATTTATCGAACAGTATTTATAATATTCATATGGAAACTACTTGCTGAAGGTTATTCTTGTCAGCTAAAAGATGTCCTCAGCGGGTGGTAGGTACATACCTTGGTAGATAAACATTTAAGGACGATCTAAAAATTCTAAAATAACTTTTAATAATTAAATCGAAATAAAGTATATTTTCATTACATTTTATAATACATTCAGAGACACCAAAGAAGAAAATACATATTTTTGAACGACTTACGGTCGTCATCATCGGTCGTTGTTAAAGAAGCATGACTGAGACGATGGCTATATTTTTGCATATTTTTTGATATAATACCGGCACTAAATTAATAGCGTGTAATGAATTATGTCTTTATTATATATCTACATACTATTCTTCCTCTTCGTTCAGTGATATTTTGTAGAAATTAATTCATGATATTATTAGTTGCTGCCAAAACATGTGTTTATCTTTGAAATTTAGATCTACGGAAAACAGCATGGCTTGGACACAAATTTTACTAAGAAAATGATTTTATTTTTATACAATCTTATGAACATTTTCATTTTAGGGTAGATGGATAGCTAACCACTTGGGTCCCACAATCCGAAACTCTGCATTTCGCGATTTGAAAATAATCTCTCATGATGATCAGAGGGCTACAGTACCATTTTATATCAATATGGTAAGTTTACGCCCGCGTCGACGACGCGCCTCCTACTACTTCCACACAGGCCACAAACACCAACACTACACAGCTAGCAAACTAGCTTAGCATTAGCCAAACACCGTACCCGTAGGATAAGAGTGCGAAGGCCTAGTTTACACACGACACGCTATAGCAGGTACAGATACGTACCCTAGCGTTTTCCCCTGCCCTACACGGCAACGGCTAACTAGAGCCGAGGTCCGAGTCTCAGACACGCCCTAGTTGAGCTGACCGCTTCAGGTTCGAGTGATCATGAGGCTCCAGACGGAGAGGAGACTCCCCCCGTGAGAAGAGGCCATCCGCCTGGAATACCTCGCTGTCCCCAAACCCGGTCACGCTGAAAGGTCACCTGCGACCAACTGCGAGCATACTCACTCAAAAAAAAGGCAAGTTTGCATATTATTCAAGGGAGGTAGACTTAGCGGATTTTCCGTTCGACACAGTTAAATAACACCTGTAACCGTCCGGGTGGAGTGTGGTTTAGTGAAACGATAATACGCGTTTATCTGGTTATACTTTATTTCAAAAACTTAACGATAGCACACGAGCGCGGGAAATTCACAGCACCGCGCGTGGCTTTACGTTATCGAGTCCCGGCCAATGACTGACTCCATCACGCATGCGTTGGCGCAAGTGACGCTACCCGAAATGTCCCCCCGCGCATCCCTTCAACGGTCAATATCTTTCCTTTGAGCCGGAGGGAGGCACATACACGCCACACACTACCTTTTGGTGGTGTTGTGTTTCTGTCGGTGAATCAGGTTCCAGGACTCCACCGGGTACAGGATTGGGTCAGCAGGGTAAGCAAGGCGCGAGTGATATTTTTTGTATCGCAAGTGTCTATACTAGGCTATGGTGACCGCCTAACATCCAGGAGGACCATATGTTTGTTAATCACCCTTATAACACGTGTTCCCTCCCTCTTACAACCTGGGATCCTTTAAAAGAGGCGTGAAGAAGCAACATGCAGGCCGGCAGAGTGGGGATGGCTGGTGTGGCAGGTAGAACTGCTGTATCAGCTATCTTCGCGTCTGGACTTCACCTTCACTTAACATCAGGTGGGGTAGAGTCATTTGTCGGACCTACCTATAAAAAAAAAAACAAAAAAAATTTGATGTCAAATTTCATTGGTAGAATTTTTTGATATTAACAACTCGGTTTCTTACACAGATGTTACGAGCCATTTCCGAAGCGTCACAGTATATTGATGGCTTCGGGGTTCATTATTATACTGATTTATTCGTGTCTGCAGAAGTCTTCTCTTTGGTCACTGAAAATTATCCAGATAAGTTCATTCTTGCGACAGAATCATGCGAAGGTAAGTAGTAAGTACTTTTTGACACTGATAAGAATCACAAAAACCCATTCGAATTCTGAATTGTTGGACATATTTATCGGCATTGGAAATGAAATTCAAATTTCATAGAAAAAAGTTATTTTGCAATAGCAGCATTATAGGCAGTATCATAGATAAATGATTGGTCTCGCTTCAGTCGAGTGAAGCGAGACCAATCATTCATCTATGGGCAGTATGATTATTTTGAGTAATTTCTGTAATATGCAATGTGGTCTTTTTTACCGCACTCCTTTCCCATGGTATTTCTTTAACTTCGAGATGAAATACACATATATACGCATATATAGTAAAATACATTTTTATATCCCTTGTTTCTTTTATAACACCACCGACTCCAGTTTCTTTCAATCCTCACCATCCAAAGGTCGTAAAAGGTTTCTCGAGCGAGGAAGAAATGGCTTTTAGCAATAAGAGCGCCCATTGAATCACTATGTTTAAACATAATGCATTTACCCCATTTATGTACTATACTGTGGTGTTTTCAATAAAGAATTGTGTATTGTATTGTATACGTAATAAACACGAAATGTAATAAAATATTATATAATACTTATGATAAAGCTGTTGAGAGGGACAAGTAGGTAGAGATTTACATCGTACGTCCTTCGACCTATGTTGCTTGTCGTACTCCTCTTCCAATAAACATTATGTTTTCAGGATCTTTCCCTTGGCAAAAAGAAAAGGTTGTCCTTGGATCCTGGGACAGAGCTAAGGCGTATGCTGTTGACATTATTGATGTAAGTTTGAACAGAGGCGTCTCTAGCCCTTGTAGCGCTCGTAATCATTAATATAGCATCCTTTAGGAAGCACGCGGTCTAGGTGGCGAGCACAGAACACAGAAAGAGGTTAGAAGTGCGATCATATACCGTATTTACAACACACTACTCTTCCACCTAATGGATGATAGAAAATCACAAAACGCAACATCAAACAATCGAACCAATCACCGCTCACACCCGAGAGTTACGACGCAATCAGAAGCAAGTTTTGGTAAAGTTACGAGCATTTGCTCACACATAACTGTGGCGCACTTGCCCCGCCCAAAAGGTTCTTCTGACCCCTTTCTGGGTTCTGTAGTGGCGAGAAACGACGGTGAGCGGTGGTTTTCTCTAAAATCGCAGAAAATTGAGCGGTGGTTTTTCTCTCAAATCGCAGAAAAGTGCGGTCTCCAGAGTTTTGAAATAAAAAAGCTCTGCGGCTGCCCGCGTGCTGGAAAAAAATGAATTCGTGAGATTTTAGCCTGGGACCGCGGCGCCCGTGAGCAACGCACACTCAGCACCATAAATAAAGCGTCCCTGAGTATGAATTTGAAAAAACAGCATGATAATAATAGCGTGAGTTAAATATCTGAAGTCATAGAGCAACACGACCGATGTGGCGAGGACCGAGGAGGAGGGTAGGCATACACAGCTATCCCCTCTGTCGGATTGGGCATACAAGCGATTTTATGTTTGCAGAATACACTTATTGTGTCATTGTATATGCGTGAGGGTCCTAATTGCATTTTTGTTTTTTACATATATTAGTTACCAAAGTATCCTTTTAGCCGTTGCCAAGTAATCTCCTACCTCATGGAGCCCTGTAACCTCACTTAAATTTCTTTAAACACAGTAATAAAAAAATATAAATATGTTTCATCATGTTTGATTCCAGGATCTTAATCAAAACGTGGTCGGCTGGATAGATTGGAACCTCTGCCTGAACGCCCAAGGAGGCCCGAACTGGGCGAGAAACTTCGTGGACTCTGCGATCATAGTGTTCCCTGAGAGCAAGGAGTTTGTGAAGCAGCCGATGTACTATGCCCTCTCACACTTCTCCAAGTTCCTTCCGAGGGGTTCTAGGAGGATCAAAGTCACGGAACGAAAACCGCTCTGGTCTTCACGAGTGACAAACGTAGCTTTTCAGACGCCGAAAAACACTGTGGTCGTCATTCTTCATAATGAGTAAGATCTTTATGCATTATACACACACTAAAACAAATTGAGCGGCTCTAAGGCGCGGAGGTTAGCGCGTTCGGCTGCGATCGTTGAAGTTAAGCAACTTTTGCAGTGGTCGGGCATTAGATGGGTGACCAAAACTCTTGTATCTCGAATTTCTCTGTGATTCGGAACGCACGTTAAGCTGTTGGTCTCGGCTGCATCTGCAGTCGTTAGCAGCCGCTAAACCGCACTGGGCCCGCGTGATGGGGCATGGCCCAATTTCCCTATTCCATCCATAGGGAAGAACTGTGCCCCAGCAGTGGGGAATTAATAGGCTGATGATGAAAACAAAGTGAATGGAGCGTAACAAGGCACTTCGCTTTTTATATTTATTTTAAGCATTTAACTGCAAGATATTTTACTAAAAATAATTTCACGACTGCTACCAGGGATTTTTTTCTAATACAAGTTTTGTTTCCTCATTCTCTAATTTCTACAGGAATTTTGAAGACTTAAGAACTTGTGTAAGAATTTGGTTTCATTAATACCAAGACCAGCGTAATAATTAGATTTTATTGTTCTTCGAAAAAAAAACCTCAATAGACAAATTTATATTAATCTAGCTGTTCCAGCGAACTTCGTACCACCATAAAAAACTTAGGGGTTGGTGGTAGAAGGGTGAAAAGTTAGGGTTGTATGTATTTTTGTATGATGTATCAAAAAAACAAAAAATGTTTTCAAAAATAAAAAAAATAAGGGTGGACCTCCCTTAATATTTAGGGGGATGAAAGATATATGTTATCCGTTTCTCAGACCTACTGAATATGCATATAAAATTTCACGAAAATCGGTCGAGACGTTTCGGATAGTTCAATTACGCACACCGTGACTCGAGAATTTTATATATTAGATTTTACCAGTGACCGGCGTAATGCCGCGACCTGTTATTTTATAAATACCTACCCTTCTATTTTGGATTTTCTCTTTTTTCAGAGATCTTGCGACGAATGTATCTATAGAAATAGGTCAGAAGAAAATAACTGTTCCAGTACCAAACAGATCCATTGTCACAATAGAGATGCTCAACGTTGGCTGAAGTAAGATTGAAGAACAATGTCGTATTTGGTAGTTTTTTTTATATTGAATGATTTGTAAAATATATTACATTTTCCTCATACCCACGTTATCAATACTGTATGTAGATAAAATACATCGAATTGTCAGAGGAAGCTATTGGTTTTTCATTTTTTAACTCACACCATTTGGCCTAGTCCCAGAGAATATACTGTTAAGATTCGTGTTGTGTGTGATACATGGCTTGGATTAAATGAAAAAGGGAACCTACGCTACCGTCTCATAAGTTGGCTCCACGGGGTAGACGATTAGATCGGAGTAGGAAACGGTAGCTTTGTAACGCAAGCGTTTATATGATATGGTGGCCGCTTCAAGCATAAGTATGCTTGCACCCTTTTACCATAAAAAAATATTAGTGTGCGTCCAAAACTTGGGTTCATGCACATAATTTCATTTTAGTCACAATTTGACAAGCAACCAAATTCTCTTAGGCATCTACACTCACTATCTGAATGGATGAAGTCGCAACCAAAGCAAAGAATTCGAATATACCTGTTAATAAACTGGTGCTTCTACGGCTACTAAGTTTATAAATCAAACTTCAAAACCAGAATAAAATTACCTTCTACTGGACTTTGATTTTATTCAACCTAAATTATTGAAACTAGCAGTTAGTGTACATTCAGAAGTCAGTAAATTTAGAAAAAATTAATGTATGTTAGAAAACATATTACTCGCTACTACTACTACTTATTAAACACTCGCTTAATACTAGAAATAAAAATAATTTAGCTGTACCAATTACAAGGCTCCACAAAATCAATAATTCATTTAAAGGTCTTTGTGTACGCTTCTACAATAAAGTCCCTAGCAATATCCAACAATTAAGCGTCAATAAATTTATTAATAAAGCCTATTATAAAGTGTCTGATTATATTTCAGACAAAAATGCTTGGGTTTAACTGTTCCAAACGGTCCGGCAGGCTTTTTCTATAATTATGATTAAGATGAAATGATTTTGTATTGACACCGTAACAATATAATTTTTAAAAATATGGTAAAAATATGGATGATTCAAAAGAGTTGTATTTTGCATCCAATTTGAATAAAGATATTTTGACTTTGACTTTGAGTGAGCGAGGAACCCCAGTAGCTTCATCTTCAGCTTGCATCCAGACCGCGTCCACTGCTGGACATAGACCTCTCCCATGGCACCCCATTGAACTCGGTCTTCAGCTCTCCTCATCCAGTCATTGCCCGCTGCTTTTCAGATGTCGTCGCTGGCGCACTATGTTTGCCGATTCGCGGTCTCCACTCGAGGACTCGTCTGCCCCAGCGGCCATCCGTTTAATGGCATATATGACCTGGGACTTCAGCTTGGTTACTCGTTAAGCTATGACTTACTGACATAGCTCAACGAGTAAGAAAGCTTTAGTTCACAGGAGAATTACTTCGTCCCGGATCCGATCCCTTACAGAAATAGCTCTCCATAGCTCATTAGCCTTACCGTTGGTGGCTCATGGTACGTCATCAAGTATTGCTTATGATGATGATAATGCTTGAAATATTATAGCTATTAATGGGATTGTTATTATTTACCTTGATTTTTATGAGTCTCTGATATTTCGGAATTGTTGCAAGCGCCATGATCACGGAGTTACAGGTAACAATATCCGTTGATATCTATAATTTTAGTGACCTAAGTGTAAAACAATATAACGTTTGAGATAGGTTTCTTAAAATATTTACTCACAATTGAGTAGGTAAGAGTATCTATGTAGCAAAACTTTTTTCTATACAAGTTACTTGCAGAAACCCTGACAGCCTAGAGAAGCTGATGGTGGTTGACCAGGTCGACGGGAGAAGATCACGCGGTCGGTTCCCTACCCGCTTGTCAGACCTAGTAAAGTCACTCACTGGCCTATCAATAAACAAGGCTATAAAGACAGTCCAGGACAGGAATGCGTGGAGAGGCATAATACATCAGGTGGTCAACATTTCAAGTTAGACACGACCTTCAGCAATGAAGATAGCGACTAAGAAGATACAAGTTACAGCATAATATTACCCCACATCACCTATTAAGTGCATGTCGTCCGTGAGTGAGTCGAATCATGAATCCAGTTGCATATGTAGCCAATTTGGCAGATAAGTGTGTCTTAACTTGCCAGCTTTCGGAACAGGATATCCGCTAAGTACTATAAATATTTGGAGAAAGTTTTATTGTTTTTAGGTTATTGAAGGCTCCTTTCCCTCGCGGGTGCTCTATTGCAACACAAAATTGTCATACTCTACCTACCTTCAGAACATGATCACCACTTTGTGACATTTGTGGTAAAACCATAGATTTATGGTAAAACTTAGGTTAATGAAACGGAGGTTAATATTCATTTAGTTTAAAGCGCCGTAATAAAGTTTTTAGAGTGTACCCGAAATGCAGGGCTGAGAGGGTAAATGTTAGATAGTGCCGATTCCATATTTAATGGACACATTCGACCTCCATGGTCGAGTGGTTTGTACGCCGGGTTTCATGGTGTCACCGGCTTGAGAGATCCCGATTTCGAATTGAATGTTTGTGTCATGAATACGAACATTTGTACTCTAGTCATGGATGTTTAATATTTATTTCTATAGACATATACTTATATATGCCGCTAAGCTTTATAATGGTTTCTTGATTTCACGAGTAATACGTTCAGAATGACTGCTTCAGTAGTTTATTTTAATTCTGGCGGTGTCAATAAATCTTCATTATTGACACTGCACGTCGCGAGACGCCACACACGGGCCACACGCCCGCCACAGCCACAAACGTCGCTACGAGAAGCTAAAAGCGGCTACTAAAGTGGCTGAAGCGCGCGACAGCGGCTGACTAAGGTAAGGGAGAGAGGGGTGGGGAATCGCGCGAGTAACGTGTGGCGGCGTTTTGCATCGGCGCATTAAGTGGCCGGTGCGGGCCACAAGAAGCGAGCAACGACGATTTCTAGCGTGTGGCGACCACAGGAATGAAAACTACAAGAAATATGCCGGTGGCGGCGTTTTGTGGTTGACACTTACAGACAAAGCATTCCTGAAGTTTCAATAATAAAAATAATTTCATTTATTTAAGATTACATCAACCCAAGTTGTTAGTAACAATTTTTACTTAATATCTTTGTTAGTAATTTCAGATTAAATTAATTATATTACAAATATAATACAATAAGCTCATTAATACAAATTTAATATCATAATAGGTAATTAACAAAATTACATTTGCTTTAATTACACTCAAAATGTGATAAATTGTGGTTTATATAAATAAAACTAGTTTTTACGGGTTAATGCACGAAACTTTATTTATTTATTGACTAATATTCTGACGATGCAGACCTGAAAAGACTGCGAAACGTCAATAAATAAATAAAGTTTCGTGCATTAACCCGTAAAAACTAGTTTTATTTAATGAGTGATGTGCGTGAAAACCTAAGAAACAAATTGTGGTTTATATGTTTTTTTTCTTTCTCTAAGGTTTTTATTTAGTAATATTCATTTTTTTTTTGATAATGGGTTGCAGAATAGCAATTGCTCCATTTATAGATAAATCAATAATACGTGTTACCACGTGCATCACTCTCAGTGTAGTGTGTCACTAGTTGGTGATTTCATTAAAATTGTTCAATGTTGTGTTTTACGCTTAAAAATGAAGTGTATGCAAATTTTAATAATATGTGTTTCGATATATATGGCGCTAGGAGAAATTAATTTATTCGGAGTAAACGGTAAGTAATAATAAATTATTATTTTCACAGAAAGATAATAAAATTACAATTAACACGTAAGGCCTAACCAACATAATTATAATTTACTTATATTATAGATGATATTAAATTTGCCACGGCCGTCAGGGCCGCGATAGAATAATGGTTAGTGCATTCGTCCGTAAAATTTTCATTAGATTTAAACATCTAGCAGTTAAAGGCTTTAACATGCAAAATAAAAAAATACTTATATTATGTTAATTAATTAATATATCATTGATATTTAATACATTTATAGTTTAGTTTTTTTTTATCTAAAGAAATTCTTTACAATCGGAAATTGGAACTCTGCTATCCGATATGACTAATAAAATGGTGTATATTATAAAGTAGGCCAGTAATAGTGTAAAACAAAACATATAAATAAAATGTATGAACAAGAAAAGTGCAGCTTTCTTCTTCTTTCTTATCTTTCAGGGATTCGAAAGAAGAAAACTGCGATATCGCTTAGAAGTTCTGTTACAGACAGAAATATCCTTTGACTTTATAAATATTTATAATCATACTTAACTCGTTCTTTACAGTTCCATTCACAGATTGGTTACAACCTGGTTACCCTACACCAAGTGGCAGAAGCCGTAGTACCAGCACCAACAAGAGAATTGGTAAAATCCTACTACTTTACATGGAGGGCGGCTCAAATTACAGAACAAAAGGCAAATGTAGCGCACGGAACACGCAATGAGTGGCATCATAGCAAATAACCGTTTCAATTAACCACTAATAAAGAAATATTTTTTATAACATTGGTCATACCAATATATTAGTTTTACATAAATTAGAACCTATTAGAGATACGCGGAAAAATATACAAAAACAATGTTTATCTATGAATCAATGAAAATATTTTGTAGGGGAGAGTGGGGTAATTGCGGACGCGGTAAATACGGACTAGCAAGTTTCTACTCATTCCCTCCACCCGCGGCAGCCCGGTGCTGTCGTCTGTTTCTTTCCGCTATTTTAATGCCACGCAAAAACTTACGACAGCCGGCTGCGCACAGTTTGAAAGGTAGGTAAAATTAAAAAACAAAAGTGTATATTGATTTAATTTTTAGAGTTTTTTAATTCGAGGGACAGGTCTGTATACTAAGTGATGGTAAAAAGTGATATTTTCTATGGATAGCTTTGTCAATGGAGTTTGAATCGCCAATGTTCGTTTTTATGGAACGTTTTCATAACCTACAAATTTCTCTCTTTGATTTAAAAATACCCTGTTGGGTTAATTGCGGACACGGCTTGCGGGGTAAATACGGACGTCCGAAAACCAAAGTACGACAAGTCAAACAAGTCAATCTTCATCAGTACCGCTTAGTGATTTAATAAAGGTCCCAACTCTACAAATTCATCGTAGCAAACGGTCAGTAAACAAAAAGCATTCCATCATTTTTACCAGCACCCCGGAAAAAAAGAATCAAGAAGAAAAGGAACAAAAGAAAATAAAAACTACATCTAATAAGCTGAAAAAGTCAGAACTTTCTACAGGAAAAGGATCAAAGGGTTTAAAAAATCTGAATAATTTTGAAAATGAAGGAAATATTGATTACTTTTGCATTTATTATCAGGAAAATTACAGTGATCCACTCGCCGTAGGCTGGATTATGTGTTTAAAGTGTAACAAGTGGGCTCATGAGAACTGCACTGCAGGAAGTTCTTCTAAAGGCTTTACTTGTGATTTTTGTCAATGATGTGGACCTAGTCCGTAATTAACCCAGGGTCAGTCCGAATTTACCCCGAACGCTACGGGTAATTACGGACAGACAAGGTTTTGTTTTTGCTAAAAATATTCTATTTGTTGATTGATCTCGTTTAATAAGTATAATTGTTTTTGTAGATGTATAACTAAAGATTAATAATTAATAAAGACAGACTAATTATTACTAATAGTACGAATGTTGTGCGTTATTTCCCTTCAGCGTCCGCAATTCCCCCATCCTCCCCTACATTTTTTTCCCACAAATAGCAACATTGTATGTAAAATCTTGTGTGTATAAATAATTGAATTTTAGTCGATGTACGTACATGAAATGTATCAATTACACGTGAAATATGACTCTCTTACTTTATTTTAGTTTTCCGGTGACACGGAACATTGTTTGCCCCGGTTCGCCGCGCCGCGCCGTTGAGCACTTACAGCTTGCGGAATGTACTAAGCTCTATCTGGCTCACTTTGAGTTACGTCTTTTTCGTGCGGGTACTAGGCTTCGAGGGGTTATTATTAGAGTGCGATTTAAACTTTATGGCGTTTGTGATGTTAGTAGCGAGCGCAACAATGCGCAGATTTTAGTTCTGTGACATCATCATACTACATTTCGTTTGGTCAGACAAGCAAGTCAACTGACTGAATTGGCTTTCTTGTATAAAATTTCTGAAACAAAACGCGCTTTAGGATTCTAAATGAAACAATGATAAAAAAGCGAGTGTGCTTGACCACACGACTGAAGTTAAACTTCTTTAGCTCCAAAGATCTGTAAATCATAAACTTAACCTGAAGATTTGTTGATAGATAAAAAACCACCAATCCGCGCTAGGTCCGTTATCACCCACCAATCCGCGCTGGGTCCATTATTACTCACCAATCCGCACTAGGTCCGTTATCATCCACCAATCCGCACTGGGTCCGTTATCATCCACCAATCCGCACTGGGTCCGTTATCTCCCACCAATCCGCGCTGGTTTGTCCCCCAAGTCAAGCGTGCCTAAAGAACTTTTACTTCAATAAACCACAGGAAAACCATGCAAGTCGCGTCAGATTCCAGGCCAGTCTGTGGTGTGCGTGTGCAACGTCACCTACTGCGACGAGCTGGTTAGAGTGGCGCCGGCGCAGGGCAAGTACGTCACGTATACAACTTCAGAGGTAAGATGACAAATGAATAGTAAGTATTGTAGGACTCAAACGTTAAGCTGGTAATGAAGTACATAGGTATGCAGCTAGTTTTAGTTAAGTGAAACCCGGGTCATTCAAGGTCCAATAAATATTATTAGTCCATCTTGCTTTATATATATATATATACTTATATACACATATATATTCTATCCGTTACCCTTGTATCCCATAACACAAGCCTTACAGTGCTTAATTTGGGGCTAGGCTAATTGGTGTGAGTGTTGGAAATATTTATTATTTATTTATTTATCTAACTTTGCACACGGACATTAATTTTCAAGATGTCTTTTGCAATCAGGGTGTTTGTTGTGTCCGGTTTCCGTTAATCTTCTTTTAGTTTCAATTGAACCCCCCCCCCCCGTTTTTGAAGTCGGTTAAAAAGTATATCTTTTGTTTTCTACCCTTTTCGCCTCTGTTTGCAGTCAACGTTTCTACGATTTATCTTAGCATTAGCTCGTGAGATATAATGTAAGAATCATTTATATTTATTAAAATTTCTATTTCAGGCTGGCTCTAGGTTTGTGAGAGTGACCCGTGATCTTCGGAATAAGGACTATTATGGTTAGTATACCTCACAGCTTTTTTTATATAGACAAACCGACGCTTGTTGTTGTAAATAGTCAGGATTGCTGAATTTGTTAAAACCTTTCTTTTTAATATCGGTATTGTGAGTGAACTACACTACTACTTCTAGTTCAGGTACTCTTGGTTCATTAACTAGGTATAAGAGTTTCAGATAAATAAAAAATTACGTGATAAGTAGTCATTCTTTCTTGAAAATTTGCCCTAGGACACGTTAAATGATACTATCACCAATCCATTAAGAGCTTTCAAAAAACGTCATTTTTTGGGTAAATATATTCAAAGTTCATTCCACTTCCACTGGCTTTTTACAATAATTACACAGATACTACTATTAATACAGTAGTACGATGTATAGTACAACTCTTTTGAACCGTCCAATTTTTTTCCCTACCACACTCGTTATGGATATATTTTTTAGCTGCGGAGAAAAACGAGCGAAAAAAACTCCACAACATTAAAATTCTAATGTAACAACATTTACAAATCATTTTGTTGTTATAACGTCAATACAATTATGATTTATTTAATAAAGAAAAGCTGTTGGAATGATTGGAACAGTTCAAACCCAAGCATTTATGTCTGTAATATGCAGAAAGCAACGTATTGGAGTTAGTCCTTAACCCACGCCAGAAGTATCAGAAAGTGGAAGGGTTCGGGGGTGCTGTCACCGACGCCGCCTCCATCAATTGGTTGAACCTCACAGACTCCCGGCTGAAGAAATCATTAATTGAGTAAGTATCATGTTCCATACAAAAAAATAGTATCACTTATTTAGAAGAGAGAACATTATTTTTTTATGTGGTGATATGATTTTGATCCTCGACTACCTACTGCGTGCTTTTTAGCTGAGTAATTGTTTTTGAGGAGCTTGATGGCGCAGGTGGTTAGCGCGTGCGGCTGCGATGTTGAAGTTAAGCAACTGTCGCAGTGGTCGGTCATTGGATGGGTGACCAAAAATTTACTATCTCGAGCTCCTCCGTGCTTCGGAAGGCATGTTAAGCCGTTGGTCCCGGCTGCATCTGCAGCCGTTAGCACCCACCAATCCGCACTGGGCCCGTGTGGTGGGTCATGGCCCAAACTCCCTATTCCATCCATAGGGAAGGCCTGTGCCCCAGCAGTGGGGACATTAATAGACTGATGATGAAATTTTTTTTTAATGAAATAAATAAAACCACACGTTTTAAAATTATCAATTAAAAATATCCTTCCGCGGCTGGGATTAGAACTTCTTTTAAATCAAGGTACTATCTGCTTATGAGGGTCACATTAAAGTGCTATTAAATAAGGTGTTATTTAAACGTGCCATTATTTGTTCTCAGCACATACTTCAGCAAGTTGGGGTTGGAGTATAACATGTTGCGCGTGCCCATCGGAGGGTGCGACTTCTCCACCCACCCTTACGCCTACAACGAGTTTCCAGCCGATGATGTCTCCCTCAGCAACTTCTCTCTGGCGTATGAAGATTATCAATACAAGGTACGAACGACTGTCGTAATTCACTGTCCAGGTGAGAAGCATTTGGTATTTCGATCTAAGTTTATGTCTGGAACATTAGCACTGTTTGCGGATAGCTTTCCAAAATATCGTAGTTTATTAACTTTTATTGAATAAACCTTTGATATAACATGAATCAGCAAATAGTGTTGTTGTTGTTTCTAAGCTAATGACCTTCTAACCCTTCTTGCATCCTGTACTGCGGGAAGCACTTTAAGCAGTTGGCCAAGACTACTTTATCATGTGCTGTGGGGATGATAGGCTAATTATGATAATAACGGAAAGTTGTATTGGGTGTCTGACAATCAAGGATTAATTGACCCTGACAGTGGGAAGCAGCAGCGAGCTTATAACACTATCTTCACGCTGTCTGTCAAGCGGGGTATCTACAGTCGATAGGAACTTGCTAATCTTGCAATTTTCAAGCAGTGTTTACTCTGAGCTGATTCCTACACCCAGTGGATTTATGATAACCTTCTATAAATGTTGAAGTGTTACATTTATAGGTTGAATTGAGTTTAATTAATTAGACAGGTAGTCCAACTAGCCTTTTTTTTTGTATCTTGAAAATTCCTTACGCATCCTTCAATCGCTGGGGGAGCGAGAAGAAGGTATGTGGGACTCCTCCCTGTCCTCTTCAGCCAGCCCTGGAGCTCGCTGATGTGAACAGGGCCCTAACTACGCCCTGAACAGGGCCACTAAAAATCAGACAATACTCCTGCACCGTCACCCGACAGGCATTATGAGGACGGAGGTCCCCCGAGTGCGTGCCGAGAGGGCGGGTGTGGTCGCGGAACCCGTCTCCGAATGGCCGCGCAATTAGACCAACTAGCCTAGATAATCATATTCGTATCCAATTATCGTGATGAGTCAATTGAGTGAATTCCAGATCCCAATGATCAAAGAGATAATGAAGGCTGCCGTCGCGCCTGTACACATAGTGTCCAGCACCTGGTCGCCACCCCTCTGGATGAAGAATAAGCCGGTGTGGGGCGGTAAGAACAAACTCAAGCCGGAGTACTACCAGACGTACGCTGACTATCATATCAAGTGAGATCTTTGTTTTTTTACTTTACTTTTTAACGACCTGTAGGTGTAACGGCAATGATATTCACCTGCGTTTGAATACTGATCACGAGTCAAAATGCTATAGGTTGGTAATAGGTACAGCTAAATCTGGAAGATGAAATGCATTAAATTGCATTTATACGATTTAAATCTTTGATTTATACATACATAAGTGATAGATTTTAAACATGTGAAGTGAAGCCATATATTTAGGTACTAATTGAAATTTCAAATCTTTTTACGAAAGCAGTCCAAAGTCAAAACCCAGAAAAAAAAATGTGTATTTGAAGTTTCTTCAAAAAAAAAAAATTTTTGGGACAATAAGTAGCATTGATTCGTCTTCAAGGTCCAAATTTGATATGCAGGTGATATAGTAGTATAGTAGAATAAACCAAACTAAACTTTAGAATCGAATGGGTAAGCGTATGTACGATCGAACCAATTGAATCCTAAGCCACATGCCCGATAATTCGCTAACAAACAAGTTTTCCTTTGTAGAGAATGAGTAATTGCAATTAGGACCTTGTCAATATTCTTGTTAATATTTCTGCTTTTAATATTTCTTCTTGTTAATATATTAAATATATTTGAAATTTGACCTTTGTTTTCAATGATATAAATCAAGTTATAGATAAAATTGGTATAGTAGTTTGAATTTTGAAATCACTTGTGAAGTCCTAAATGAGACAGAAACTCTTTCGATTTCTTAAATTGTAGAAAAACGTTGGTAAACGAATAGGGAAATGGCAGTTCATGGAAAAAAAACCAAATAATTTAATGTCAAAGTTATGTTACAATAACTTTGACATTAAATTATTTGGATTTTTTTCGCAAATCTGTCAGGTCAATTTATGATTGTTCAGAAAATAACAAGTTTGTTTCCAGGGATATGTACATTTAAGCAAAAATCAACCTTATTGTTTTGAAATGGTTGTAAAAAAATAAGCTTAAGGTGGGTCAGGAATCAAATTGGCTGATCGTACATTGTTTAATCGTGACGTTACTGTTTAGATTTCTAGAAGCGTACCAAGCGAATGGAATACCGATTTGGGGTATCACCACAACAAATGAACCGAATGATGGCTTTTTGGGTTTAGCCCCATTCAACACTCTTGGCTGGTCCCCGTTGAATCAGGTATGTTTATCTACAAACCAAAGGTAAATAAATTAGAAATATTGTGGTCTGGGGCGCCATTCTCAAAATTACCATCCTCGATTACAGAGCACGTAACCATTTTTATTTTTTATTAGATACAAAGTATAAGTTATAAATGGTTACAAATGGAAAGAGGATCTGAAACATTTAACAATGCCCGAAAAGTCAATCACAATGTAAAAGCGTATTTTTAGCGCAATTTATTTGATTTCTAGCCACTCAGTAGTTTTTGTGTTCAATATGAAGTTGGATTATACAATAGCAAAGCAGTAGTCTAGCTGGGTCAGCATCCAACGACTCAGCCTCTTCAAGAGTTTGTAAAGATTTGATTTTAGAGAATATACAAATTGTGAACAATATTAAATGTAAATAAAACACGTTTCAACGGGTAAGTGTCGCCGCACACGGGACACCGACCACAACCACAAAACGCCGCCACCGGTATATGTCTTGTAGTTTTCATACATTTTATATGGACTCGCCACGCACGGTACGCCGGTGGCCGCCACACGCTACAAATCGTCGTTGCTCGCTTCTTGTGGCCCGCACCGGCCACTTAATGCGCCAATACAAAACGCCGCCACACGTCACTCGCGCGATTCCCCACCCCTCTCTCCCTTACCTTAGTCGGCCGCTGTCGCGCGCTCCAGCCACTTTAGTAGCCGCTTCTAGGTTCTCGTGGCGGCGTTTGTGGCTGTGGAGTGTGGCCCGTGTGTGGCGACACTAAGATGTACTTATTTTATTTGTTTATTGACGTTTCGCAGCCTTTTCAGGTCAGCGTCGTCAGACCTGAATGACTCAGTCATTAGTCTGAATGAGTGATGTGCGTGAAAACCTAAGAAACAAATAATATTATATGTATCTGAATTTTTTTTAGCCTATATGGATATCGGAAAACTTGGGTCCTACAGTAAGGAATTCCTCATTTTTCGATTTAAAGATTCTCGCACTTGATGATCAAAGAGCCAGTATACCGTGGTTATTGGCGGTACGTTAATCGTTTGTTTTTATATATTCTTCTATTTGATTATAAAGGCCGGTAATCAAGCAGATGTGATACATAGGTTTTGGTTTTCCCCAGATGCTGTATATATCACCAGAAATGGTTGAATACATCGACGGTGTGGCAGTGCACTTTTATGCAGATAAAATAATCCCACCGGAGTTTCTATCTTTTATGAGTGACAAATACCCCGATAAATTTCTGTTGTCCACAGAAGCCTGTGAAGGTAAATATGACTGAAGTAGAAACTATAGTATGTACTGAATTAAGAAAGCCAATAATAATATTGATAATTAACAAGATTGATGGAATAAAAAAAAAATCGTTTCTTACAAGTGTAAGAAATCTAAAAAATATGATAGAACATATGGAAGTCCATATGTTCTATCATATTTTTTAGATTTTAGTCATAGTAGTCTTGCAGCCTAGGAAATCTGAAAGAAATTCATCACATGAATTAAGGTAGGGGGCATAGCAGATAGTGAATTCGCCCGGATCGCGAAATTTGCTGGTTCGAGACCAGACTGACCTTGGGAGAATTAAAAAAAAAATTTTAGCTCCGTTGCTCTCATGTGAAAATCTTGTGTTAGGAATTAAAAACAATTATGGTGCTAGAAATACTTATGAATTTTTGACAACAATGATATTAATTGTATTATACAAGCCACTTTAGCACAGCAATTATTGCTGGATTTTTTTCAGGTAGTTTCGGGCCTATAAAGGTTTTGCTGGGATCTTGGAATAGGGCTAAAAGTTATATTACTGATATCATGCAGGTAAGTTGATTGTGATTTGAAACAATTCAGTAATACACGACAACTGTCTTGTTTATAATTTTATTTGGGGTTATTTTCTTTTACTTCTCGATCAGCCAAAACTTCAATGTAAACTCCTCATTCAACATTTATTCAGTTGTTGATTTATCAATTCTTCGGTGTCGCTTAGCCTGGATAGCATTAATCATGACTTAATTTTTCACAATTTTATATGTAATTATTTATTCATCATCATCATCTCAGCCGTACGACGCCCACTGCTAAGCTGCTTTATGCTTTTTTACATCAATGCCAACGTCTTATAAATAATTATTTATAAGACATCATTAAATCATGATAAAAAAATGCACAAATTTCAGTTGCGTATTTATTAACTTATCTTTTGGAAAATTCAAGTGAAAGGACATTGGGCAAAAATATATGAACCCACGTCCGCCACGGCTTAAACTACATTTGTTTGAAAGGTATTATAGTCATGATCAAATTCCATCCCGGGAGTCTTTAGTTATTTTAAGTTAAATAGGTAAAAGTACTATAACGAACGAACATTACTGAAACAAGGGAATTAATTCAGTTATTTAGTTCGATCCTACATAGGTGGCTCAGGTATTATGGGAGTACTTTACAAGATGCGAGGAATGGAATGGAAAGGATGCAGAATAATATAAGGGGGCACCCCTTATATAATTCTGCCGCGCTGGAGTAAATCCAAAAATCCCCGCATGGAATGGGGTTTTTTCAAACATTCTGTTCGTTATAGTAAATTGTCTTCTATGTTAAACGGAGCGACCACAAATCACACAAACTTGTCCACGCTTCGGAGAAAACATGATTCCAGTTCATCCATATTAATTGACAAAACTGATAACCGTGTTCCAATGTCCAAAGCGTGTTAGGTAAAAATCAATCAAGTGACTAAATTGATTGATTTTTACCTAACACGCGTGATAAAATGAATTAATTTGGCTACTTAAATATGCCCATGTGCCATATCTTTTGACTACCAGAATATTTTTTACGGTGTCATATCTTTTGACTACCAGGTTTTTTACGGTGTCATAATAAAAAAGGCTAGTTTTACATAGATGTAACGATTCATACTAATTACATTGTTGGCGGAGCTGGGTGTGTTTTGCCCATTGACCTTTAAATTTTTCATAACATTTCCATAATAGACCACTTAATAGGGAGCATATATACTCGTAGGTATTGTTCATTTGGTGTGTACTCAAGTTCTTTCGCAACAAAATTAACCGACTTCAAACTCAAGTTGATATCGTGTGTATTTGAGAGGTTTTTACATTTATGAATGCGAGTTTTAGTTTCCAATAAGCTTTTAGTAGTCGCAGAACTGGCACTGGCAAACTGGTAGATATTTAAGTTGTTTGTAAGTGTTAAAGTTTTGAGTAGTCCGTATTTTTGTTACATTTTTTAAATTTATTGTGTACTAGGATCTGAATTACAACGTGGTTGGCTGGATAGACTGGAACCTCTGCCTCAACGTCCAAGGAGGTCCGAACTGGGTGGAAAACTTCGTGGATTCTCCGATCATAGTGTTCCCTGAGAACAAGGAGTTTGTGAAGCAGCCAATGTTCTACGCTCTGGGGCACTTCTCGAAGTTCTTGCCGAGGGGTTCACAGCGAATTAAAGTCAATCAAAGGACACCGCCTCGATCGTCGCCAGTGGATAACGTGGCATTTTTGACTCCACGAAATACTGTGGTTGTCGTTTTGTATAATGAGTAAGTATCGATAAGGATGAGCACGCTCAAGAGGCAGTTTACGAAATCATTTTTTTATCTTTATCTTGGGTTTGTGTTTCTAGTGATTCCAAACTATCTTCCTTTGTACCTAAATGTTTAGGTTAGATTAGGTTTATGGTGGCAAATGATTACAGACTTTGTAACATTGACGGTTATTCCAAGGTTAGTTATCCTCTGCGGATCTAGGAGCTCAGGCCCAAGCACGAACGTTATCGTCACGAACGTTGTCGTATGGAAGGAACCAGTTTGTTTTTACGTCCGGAAGGGGCGCTGTTTAGTTTTCATTGAAACTTTAACGATGCGATACGATTACGGAGCTGTCAACGTTCGTGCTTAGGCAAGGGCCTAATTGAATCCAAGGGGATTCCAATCTTAGAACCCCTTTCTAATTTTGGAGTGATGAAGATTTGTTTCTTTTTTCTTTTTATCATGGAATTAAAAAACATGTAAACAAAATATATATAGTATAAATCTTAGAATGGGCGCAACATGTTGGTCTGATGAAGATTTGATTTTTTCTTTATATCCCACATGCTATGCTTTGTTTGGGATGATTGTTTTGTAATTCTCTATTTAAAATTAACCTGATTGTTTTTAACAGTGGCGGGCCGAAAAGAGTTATCATTCAAATCGGTCAGAAGAAGGCAATCGTGCCAATGGAAGCTAGATCCGTGGTCACCGTCGAGATGGCTCTTAAACAAAACTAACAGACCGACTACTCACTCATTCGTTCACTTCGATACGCTGAAATTAAACATGACAATGCAAAATGTGTTTTATTTTAAACCTAACCTAATCTGAGCAAAAACTCCATAAAATTTCACAACCGATGTTAATCAATATTATCGATAGAATATCAATATATTAAAAGAATGTATATTTTTAACATAAAAAGGGGGTCCCTTTTTTTGTTTCCAAATATAACTTTTCCTAAAGTTCTAAAAGTTATAGATTTTAGTTTACTTACTTAAAGTTCTTTGTCTGAACGTTCTGAACCCTCATATGGCACATGTGGTCCATCTGGAGAGCGGCTCCATGATATGGCAGTAAATGACAGTGGCGGGGATTATTTAACTGCGCTGTGGAGTAGCCAGAGTAGAAGTCCTGACCCCGCTTATCCAGTGCTCCCGCTGCTTGGGCTACGGCCAAGCGGTTCTGTCAGGAGCTGCTGGACAGTTCCAGTAATTGCGGGGGAGACCACAAATATGCTAAATGCAGAAGAAAGAAGGACCCGCCGTCAAAATTGCAGGAGAGCAAACATGCAGCCCATATCACCTTCAGCAATTTAAGCTCACAAAGGGAAATATGGGAAAAAATAGCTCGGTCGAAGATAGCGTACCACTCTGATAAGGACGGAATTGAGAATAATAAAAAAAAGAAAGTAGAGAACGGAAAACCACGACTGGCAAATTGTTTGGTATTTTATGCAATGATAGCACAATAATTGCATGGGGTAGAGAAACATTATGGGTTCTACAGTCCGGTGAACGCGAAGTGGGTGTCATCTTTCTCGGAGAAAATGGAAGAGGGGAAGTGAGAACCGCAAACAAGAGAGTGGGGATCATCATCATCATCTGCCGTACGACGCCCACTGCTGAGCATAGGCCTCTCCCAAGGATATCTCCTAATCGATTGGTACGGTAAAACCTAAGATTTACGAACTCTTGATGTTAAAAATCAATGATAATTTTACTTGTGTTATTTTTTACTATTTAAGAAGTTTTTGTTTGTTTCTTTTAGTGTGGCTAGTTACTAAAAAAATAATAATTTAAATAATTTAAAATAGACAAGGATTTAACTAATTAGTAATATTAATACTTAAAAATTACTTTATGATACCTACATAAAAATATGACAGGTTTTGGCTAAGAGTTAATTAAAATAAATGATTTAAAATTGAAAAAAAAATGAGTGTTTTATTTCTAAAATCAACATTTACCAGAAGTCAGTGGTGAAACTTAGCATGCACTAAATTCTAATAGTAAAAGCCCAGAAAATTCGTCCAGTTTTTATAAATCCTTTCGTTTACCAACTATGTCGGTAAAACCTAAGATTTACTCGTAAAACCTTAGATTGACCAACGTATGGGCTGTTTTTTTAAGCATTTAACTGCTGGATGTTTAAAGCTAAAGAAAATTTTACTATAAAAATATAAATAAAACATAACTATAGTTGATATTTTTTCTTTCATATGTTAAGTACTTGTAAAGGTATTCATTTGAAATTGTGGGTTACCTACAATGCGAAGAGATGGCGCGGCCTTGCAGCCTTAGGCTAAAATAGAGAAAAATTCGATACGGCCGTCAGGGCCGCGGTAGCATAATGCATTCGCCCGGATAGCGAAAGGTGCATTTTCGAGTCCCGTCTGCTGCATGGTCCGCGTGGTCTTTTTTTTCTAATAAACTTTTCTTTAGATTTAAACGTATGGGCTTTTACAGTAACATATGCCACTGGAAAAAAAACTTAATTTTCTAGCCAATCTCGCGCTGGGCCCCGGCGCACGCGGGCCTTGTACATTCGTCACAAAGTCAATTTTCAGAAAAAAAATGTGTTAATTTGCCACATTTGAAGTTAATTGTTTGTGACGTATTAACTGAACTGTATCAATGTGACGAATTACAGTGTGGGACAGTTCAATTAAATCGTAGTATATTCGCGCGTCTGACTCGCACTTGGCCGGTTTTTTTATAAAAAGAGTTAAAAAACAATATGAAGAATTTAAAATAAAACGTTGGTAATCACTTTTTACATGTGTACAAATATGATAAAACTAATAGAAATATAGTGGTTCTCTTCATGTTACAAACATAAGTGCCATATTTTTTTTATCTATTCTTATTTCGTAACGTTTATTTCATTATTATAAATTATACTGTTTATTACCTTTCGTATGTATGTTATCTGTATACAATACCTACTTTGTGAATGACCATACCCCAAACACGTATGGGCAATATCGGAACAAATTTTCAAACTTTTCTAAATTGTAAGATACAAAACATAAATATGTGAGTAAAGGAGGGCTTATCTCTAATAGAGATCTCTTCCAGCCAACCAAGTTTAGTGTATATATAAATATATGTTATAGAAACCAAAGTTTATGAAAGTAATAAATATATAAATATATATACACTATAAAATATTAAATACACATAACATAAAATTATGTTAAGATAAAGCAAAGAGTGGAATAAATACACAACTAAGAATGTGAATTTATTTCCAGAAAATACTCTTTGACCTTTGCTTTAAAAGAGACAATGGAAGGACAGTCTTGAATGCTGGAGGGAAGTCTGTTCCAGAGCAAAGCAGCACGAACAGAAGAACTCACTATAGAAGGAGTCACTTTGTTCTTCGTCGTCGGGTAGTTTTGTTTTTGTAGATTTCGCTGCGTAGTTTCCAAAGAAACTTTGTTGATGCGATACCATTACAGATCTGTCAAAGTTCGTGCTTGGGGTACCGAATAGGGAATATGCATGTTTTTTTTTGAAGTGATAACTTCTTATGGGAGCGTAAACCGCTTCGTTACGTAACGCGTTACGGCGGCGGTCTGTCTGGATTCCCTTCGCCGCGCTTTTTATAATAATAGTAAAAACCCCTGCCAATATTCATTCTAAACACAGATGCTAACAATTGGCACTTTATTTTTAATAATGTCAAATACCCTATTAGAGGTCATCCATAAATTACGTCACACGAATTTCATGATTTTTTGCTCCTCCCCCGTCCTTGTCACAGCTTGTGAGAGTCCCCCCCTCCCTAGTGTGACGTCACATATTGTGCAAATTTACATTTAAAAATTATTGAATGAAAACAACGGTTCTGAAATCAGTTTTATTTCCATTTAAATTGTTTTTTAATAATATTAACATCAAATCAAACAATTAACAAAAGAAAAAACGATTAATTATATTAATTAAAGAAATCATCTATTGCCTAATGAAATGCATCTCGATGACAGGGTAGTTGAGGGGGGCCAGAGTATAGCGGAGCTTTTTGCAAGCTATTTTCAGTCCGTGTATAAAATAAGTAGTTCAGTTCTTTTACAACAGCATAATCTACACCATGCAACACATGAATCTCACCACAATACGCTTAGTAGTATAAGAGTAAAGGAATGTGATGTTTTGAAATCATTGGAATCATTGGATTGCAGCAAGGGTCCGGGATCCGATTTGCTTGCTCCGACATTATTGGTTGGGTGTTCCAAAACATTATGTAAGCCTCTTACTCAAATATTTAATTATTCCTTAGAATCTGGTTCTTTTCCTACAAAATGGAAACTGGCTCATCTCACTCCGATTCACAAATCAGGGGAGATAAATGATATCACACATTATCGACCGATATCTATTCTACCGGTGTGTGGGAAAATATTTGAATCCCTTGTGTGCAGAAATCTGCAACATTTTATAATTAGTCAAATTAACCAGAACCAACATGGATTTATGCCTCGAAAATCCACTGCAACCAATTTGACTGAATATATAGTAGATGTATCTGAGGCTCTTGATAGTGGCCAAGAAGTACTCGTCATCTATACAGATTTTCAAAAGGCGTTTGATATTGTTAACCATGATATATTATTATCTAAACTGTCAAGTTTCGGTATCCACGGTGAACTTTTACGTTGGTGCAAATCTTATATACGGAATAGGTCGCAGCTTGTTTCAGTGTATGGTTTTAAATCGACTGCATCAACTGTCCCCTCAGGCGTCCCGCAAGGCTCCCACTTGGGTCCTATTTTCTTTCTGGCTTATATTAATGATATATGTAATCATATCTGTCATAGCAAGTTCAAACTGTTTGCTGACGACCTTAAAATATATAGAACCATCAACAGCCCTGACGATATGGTCTTGCTGCAAAATGACTTAAATAATATTACGGAATGGTGCAAGCAAAATTGTATGTTGCTAAACTCTGAAAAATGTTCCTTCTTGCGGCTTTCCAAAAATAAAATTATTTATAATACTAATTATTATATCGAAAATAAAAAACTAAAACAAGTGGAGTGTGTTCGGGACTTGGGAGTTTTGGTCGACAGATTTTTAAATTTTCAGAATCACTTTGACTATGTGATTAAAAGAGCTTCGAAATTGTCAGGATTTATTAATCGTCAGATGAAGCTTTTTAATATACCTGACCTGTCGCTTAAAATATTTAACACCTTAATTCGAGGAATCTTGGAGTACTGCAGTACTGTGTGGAATCCGGGATACCAAGTGCACTCAGATCGCATTGAACGTATACAGAAACGCTTTCTTTACAACCTTGCTTATTCCGATCATAAATGTCGTGTGCTAAGATCTTACGAACAGCGACTTTCTCATTACAAACAGCAATCTTTAAGAGACCGAAGAAGAATTGTTGACATAATATTTCTGTGTAAAATAATGCGCGGATACACTGTTTCACCTTTTGTATTACAGCGCAGCAAATTATTCGTGCCTCGACAAAACAGCCGCTTGCAAAATATAAAACTTTCCAACTTCCTTCATGCCGGACAAATCTTGGTCAGCATTCGCCAATCTATCGGATGTTGTCTGCTTGTAATGCAGTTAGACATAGTGTTGACATTTTTGGCGACTCTATTGCGGTAATGAAAAAAAAGCTAAGAAAATTGTTGCAAATGTAGATGTAAGGGCAGTATTGTGTACATAAAATATTATAAAGAATTCTAACATTAATTATAAAGTGCATGCTGTGTTTGCATTTATAAGATTTGTGATACTGTTATGATACACTGTATGTAATTATTTTGTCATTTTCACATT